AAACAAAGTTTATTCGATGTTTACCTGTTTTAACACTTTCTCTCTCAGAAAAAGTGTTTATTTTTTTTTTTATAATTTGCTTCCTTAGATGTATGTAGTTTACAGCCTTAAAATTGTTATTATTATTATTACCTATACTGAATGATTTACTTAGAATAACACACTCATAGTTTTTTTTTTTGAAAACATTTTTGTCTCTGTTATTTTTAACAATATTATAATATTACTAAATATAACTGCACTCCACCTCCCGTCTTAAGTTTTAAATGTTTATAACTTTAAAAGTAATTATCCCAACTAGCTGTTGTTGAGCAGCCAACATTTTCAGCAAATTTTTCATAATTAAAAAAGTTAATTAATTATAAACTGTGACGTTTATATCAAAAGTCAGACAGATCATGTGTACATTTATTTGATATGTTGTGATAAAAAAAATGTCGCCATACAAGCCAAAAAGACTTAAAACAAAATGAGGAGAGTCTTTAACACACTACTTGGAGAAATTAAATGTAATTAATTTTGGGGATGCTATATTTTAGTCTGTATATTTAATTTGCACGTTGTGATATATTGACTGTGTTCTTCATTGTAGCTTCGTACGATTTATTTTGGTTTTTAATATTTAAATTTTTATATTTATTTAAAAATAATAAAAGAATAGAAACTTCTGCAAACGGTGCAAACATTGTACGTTTATTCAAAATGAGTCGAATTGAAAATCCACCGAGATTATAAAAAAAAAACGTTTATGGTGATGTAATTTTTGAAATTTACATTCACCGGATACAACCGGTTTCTTAAATTTATTATTTCAGATACATATTATTATGTATACTTGTGTTTGCATCTTTTCTATTGAGCGCATAATGCGATGTACTTTTTCAATTACATTCAAAGTGTACTACTCGTTATCGCGATTGTATATTTTGATTTTTCTTTTTTTTTTTCAAATAATCAGTTTTCTATCGGTCCAAATGTAGAGTTAAAAAAATAGTTGTATTGAATATAGTAGCAAGGTGTTATGCAGTCCATGAACGAATATCGATTTAAATCCTAATTAAATTTTAACGATAGTAAATAAAAATAACAATATAACTAACAGTAAAAATTTGTTTCTATTATTAAAAAAAAATTTAACTTATATTTTAAAGAACACAGTTCAATTTCATTAAACTAAATACTAATTTAATAATAATACTATTGTAATTACTAAAATAATAATTACTAATACAAATTCACTAAATAATATTTAACTAAAAACTTGACTAAAAATGAATGTCTTACAAGAAAAGCCAAAAATATGAACAAAAACAATAGTATATTAGTAGGATAAACTTATCAAATATTGTCTAGCAATGCTTTATATTAAAAAAAATATTAATAAGCAACATTACAATAATTGATTTCACGTAAAGAAAAAATCATATTTCGGTTTAAATCTCATAAAAACTATTTATTTAAAACAATATTTAGGTATAGTATTATCAAAATATGATATAATGATAACTATTCACCAAACTTAAAACAAAAAAGTATATTGTTTTAAAAAAGTAATAGAAAACTATTAACATTATAAATCGACATTAAAAAAAAAAAACAAATTGGTTTAATGGTAAATTAAATTACATCCAGTTGTCAAATTCTTTTTTAAAATTACATTTTCTCATTAATATTCTATTGTCTGTACTTTTTAAGTAGGCTTACCCGTTATATTTGTCTAATTATATAAAAATTAAATAATTAAACATTCTAAATAGAATAATACCTAAAACAATAAAATTTACAAATAACTATAAAAAAAAAAGCCTAACAAAATCAGAAAAAATTAAATCGAGACGAGGTTGACACAACCTCATCTCAGGTTTTATCGATTGGCCAAGTCAAATTGTTGTTGGAGATTTTGAAATTGGTTAATTTTGTTTTAGATTCAACATTTCCATTTATGAATACCAAACAGAAACATTGGATCTATCAATAGCAAACCAAAACGTTTGTCTTGAATTTTTGCCATTTAAAAACATAAGCACACTGTGATTTAGATATAAATACATAGAATAAAAACATAGTTACGGTTATAATTATATTTTAATGACCCGGCTAGCTATCCATCCTACAGCTTCTGCTGACGCCCTGAGCAAAGTATTCCACATGAACGGTGTATTTTCTTTTAGACTTTTTCTGACGATGTATGTGTTCAGAGAAGGTCCAATTCGTAGATAAGGTATTATTATAAGCTTACAGTGCCCGAAGACACCGGGCGACGTTTTGAGCATCGGTTCAGCTCAACTTTGTTTAACCAGTTCACGGTGCCTTCGGACATTGCAAGGCTTTTAATAACACAACACATATCTCCATATTTGTTGTTGAATAACATTTTTAGAAAACTCCTTAAACAAATTAGTTTGCCATAAATATTAAGAATAGATTTAAAAAAATATAAAGAATATTGTCAACAATTCTGTACAAATCTAATAGTAATAGGATACAATAAATATTACAAATAAAATATATTATTAAAATAAAAAGGATTGAACTTGTTTAATCATGAAAGTTAACATTATTTTTTTTCAGTTCCTATAAACGACTGTTACATACTATTTTAAAATTACGTTTTCTTATTATTACAATGTTGTCTGAACATTTTAAATTGTCTCAATCATGATTTTTGTCTTATTACAAAAAAAAGTTATATAATTAAACATTCTAACTGGAATATTACCTTAACAAAAAACAAACTACATATAACTATTAAAAATAATCGAGTTGAGGTTGGTCCAACCTCATCTCCGTTCTCGTCGATTGGCCTATTCGAATTGTTGTATGGTGATTTTAAAATTGCTTTATTTTGTATAGACTCAATATTTCCATATATTAATACCAAATGGCAATATGGAGTCAATAGCAAATCAAAACTTTTACCTTGATTTTTTGCCTTTTGACAATTTAAGCCCACTGTGACTTAGATATAAATACATAGAATAAAAACATAGTTACGGTTATAATTATATTTTAATGTCCCGGCTAGCTATCCATCCTACAGCTTCTGCTGATGTCCTGGTCAAGTCTTCCACATCACCGGTGTACTTTCTTTTAGACTTTTTCTGACGATGTATGTGTTCAGAGAAGGTCCAATTCGTAGATAAGGTATTATTATACCCTTGCAGTGCCCAAAGGCACCGGGCGACGTTTTGAGCATAGGTTCAGCTCAACTTTGTTTAACCAGTTCACGGCGCTTTTGGCCACTGCAAAGGTTTTAATAACACAACACATATCTCCATATTTGTTGTTGAATAACATTTTTAGAAAACTCCTTAAACAAATTAGTTTGCCATAAATATTAAGAATAGATTTAAAAAAATATAAAGAATATTGTCAACAATTCTGTACAAATCTAATAGTAATAGAATACAATAAATATTACAAATAAAATATATTATTAAAATAAAAAGGATTGAACTTGTTTAATCATGAATGTTAACATTTTTTTTTCAGTTCCTATAAACGACTGTTACATAATATTTTAAAATTACGTTTACTTATTACTAATCTGTTGACTGAACATTTTTAGTTGTCTCAGTCATGAACTTTGTCTTATTACAATAAAAGTTATATAATTAAACATTCTAACTCGAATATAATGTCTATTAAAAAAACTCACAAAAATGTATTTAAAAAAAATGCCTAATAACATAAGAGAAATTAAAATCGAGACGAGGTTGGCCCATTTGAATTGTTGTTTGAGGTTTTAGACAAGTAATTTTACAATTTAGAATAATTAAGAAAGCCATTAATTTCGAAATCGGTTTATTTCCAAGTTCTGTTCACTAAATCATTGTCATACATAATATTATAAATCATAATAATATGTTACAGCTATTATATTTAACTCTACTTAACATTATTTTACGTATATTTACAGCAATAATAATAAGTTATAACTAAACATACGTTCTTTAAATAATATTTTTTGCCAAAAACTTGACGTAGCTTCACACTGGAGTCTCAAAAGTTTTTTTTCATTTACAAAACAAAATTGTAAAAAGATGAACAGACATATTTTAAATAAAGACTTAAAAAAAAGTTATAATAATTGTAACAATTTGACATTTTAACTATAAATTATTTATGGGGAAATGTATCTTTCAATAACCTTAAAAATTGTGACTAGAACTTAAATTAAAATATTAACTTTTAAGAAGTATTCTTTAGACAAAAAACAAAAGAAAAAAATCAAAACATTACAATGTAGTATTTTTCTTATTATAATCATAAGATTTTAGTTTTACTATTGCCTTCTTTGTCCAATAACTTATAAAAAAAACGTAACTTATAATAATTGTGTTTTGTTAAAATATATTACTGCGGTTACTTATTGATGACAAAAATATTTTGGAATACAATAAGAAAATGAAAACTCCGCTATTATAAAAATTACAATGGTGTACTATTACAAACATGACTATGACAAACCAAACAAAGAAAACTTGGTGACGAATGTGTGTTATTAGATCCAGAACAAATACCATAAAACACAAAAAACATATAACAAAGTTATTTGCTCCAAACGGTTAGCTGAGAAAAGAGTAAAATAGGAACCAATTTGTAAATCTTCATAGTGTTCGTTTAAATAAAAGTTAATAATAATAAAATTATGCCACAATCGAGGCGTTGAAAATGTTATTAGGAAATAAAATATTTGTTAAAAACTTCAATTGATTTTTTCTTAGGAACAGTACGTTTAAATTAGAAGTCCTCACAAAAATACATAGAATGAAATCATAAATACCGTTATAATTATATTTTAATGTCCAGGCTAACCATCCATCCTACAGCCTCTGCTGACGTGCTGGGCAAAGTCTTCCACATCATTGGTGTACTGTCTTTTTAGACTCTCTTTGAGGTGTTCAGAGAAGGTCCCATTCGTAGATAAGATGCCCGCACCTCCAGGCGGCAGGATCGAGTACCGGTTCAAAATCTCCCGTACTGAACCCGTCGACCGCAGTTGCGGGCATGGCAACTTTCAATAATACACAGCACACATCTACATATTTGTTTTTCAGTAACATTTTTAGAAAATTTCTTATTCAAATTTGGTTACCTGAAATTTAGAACAGATTTAAAAAAGAAACAATTCTACATTGTAGAAAAACTACATAGTTACGGTTATGTTTATACAATATTGTCCAAGCCATCCATCCTACAGCTTCTGCTGACGCCCTGAGCAAAGTATTCCACATGAACGGCGTACTTTCTTTTAGACTTTTTCTGACAATGTAGGTGTTCAGTGAAGGCCCAATTCGCAAATAAGGTATTATTGAAATTTATAATGTCCGTAACCACTGGCCGACGTTTCGAGCATCGGCCCAGCTCACTTATGTTTAACCAGTCCACAATGGCTACGGACACTACAAACTCTTTATAATACATAACATACATCGCCATATTTGTTGTTGAAGAACATTTTTAAAAAACTCATTAAACAAATTCGTTTGCCTTAAATTAAGAACAGATTTAAAAAAAATCAAAGAATATTGTCAATCATTCTATACAAATATAATAGTAACGAAATACAATAAATATTACAAACAAAATATATTATTAAAATAAAAAGGATTAAACTTGTTTAATCATGAAAGTTTACATTTTTTTTCAGTACCTATAAACGACTGTTACATTCTATTTTAAAATAACATTTTCTTATTACTAATCTGTTGTCTGAACTTTTAAAGAAGTCTCAACCGTTTTATTACTCTTAATATAAAACAAATTATACAGTTAAACATTCTAACTAGAATAATACCTAAAACAATAAAATTTACAAATAATTATAAAAAAAAATGCCTAACAAAATCAGAAAAAATAAAATCGAGATGAGGTCGACCCAACCTCACCTCAGGTTTAATTGATTGGCTAAGTCAAATTGTTGTTGGAGATTTTGAAATTGGTTAATTTTGTTTTAGATTCAACATTTCCATTTATTAATATCAAACAGAAACATTGGATCTATCAATAGCAAACCAAAACGTTTGTCTTGAATTTTTGCCATTTAAAAACATAAGCACACTGTGATTTAGATATAAATACATAGAATAAAAACATAGTTACGGTTATAATTATATTTTAATGACCCGGCTAGCTATCCATCCTACAGCTTCTGCTGACGCCCTGAGCAAAGTATTCCACATGAACGGTGTACTTTCTTTTAGACTTTTTCTGACGATGTATGTGTTCAGAGAAGGTCCAATTCGTAGATAAGGTATTATTATACCCTTGCAGTGCCCGAAGGCACCGGGCGACGTTTTGAGCATCGGTTCAGCTCAACTTTGTTTAACCAGTTCACGGCGCCTTTGGGCACTGCAAAGGTTTTAATAACACATAACACATATCTCCATATTTGTTGTTGAATAACATTTTTAGAAAACTCCTTAAACAAATTAGTTTGCCATAAATATTAAGAATAGATTTAAAAAAATATAAAGAATATTGTCAACAATTCTGTACAAATCTAATAGTAATAGAATACAATAAATATTACAAATAAAATATATTATTAAAATAAAAAGGATTGAACTTGTTTAATCATGAAAGTTAACATTTTTTTTTCAGTTCCTATAAACGACTGTTACATTCTATTTTAAAATTACGTTTTCTTATTATTACAATGTTGTCTGAACATTTTAAATTGTCTCAATCATGATTTTTGTCTTATTACAAAAAAAAGTTATATAATTAAACATTCTAACTGGAATATTACCTTAACAAAAAACAAACTACATATAACTATTAAAAATAATCGAGTTGAGGTTGGTCCAACCTCATCTCCGTTCTCGTCGATTGGCCTATTCGAATTGTTGTATGGTGATTTTAAAATTGCTTTATTTTGTATAGACTCAATATTTCCATATATTAATACCAAATGGCAATATGGAGTCAATAGCAAATCAAAACTTTTACCTTGATTGTTTGCCTTTTGAAAATATAAGCCCACTGTGACTTAGATATAAATACATAGAATAAAAACATAGTTACGGTTATAATTATATTTTAATGTCCCGGCTAGCTATCCATCCTACAGCTTCTGCTGACGCCCTGAGCAAAGTATTCCACATGAACGGTGTATTTTCTTTTAGACTTTTTCTGACGATGTATGTGTTCAGAGAAGGTCCAATTCGTAGATAAGGTATTATTATAAGCTTACAGTGCCCGAAGACACCGGGCGACGTTTTGAGCATCGGTTCAGCTCAACTTTGTTTAACCAGTTCACGGTGCCTTCGGCACTGTAAGGCTTTTAATAACACAACACATATCTCCATATTTGTTGTTGAATAACATTTTTAGAAAACTCCTTAAACAAATTAGTTTGCCATAAATATTAAAAATAGATTTAAAAAAATATAAAGAATATTGTCAACAATTCTGTACAAATCTAATAGTAATAGGATACAATAAATATTACAAATAAAATATATTATTAAAATAAAAAGGATTGAACTTGTTTAATCATGAAAGTTAACATTATTTTTTTTCAGTTCCTATAAACGACTGTTACATTCTATTTTAAAATTACGTTTTCTTATTATTACAATGTTGTCTGAACATTTTAAATTGTCTCAATCATGATTTTTGTCTTATTACAAAAAAAAGTTATATAATTAAACATTCTAACTGGAATATTACCTTAACAAAAAACAAATTACATACAACTATTAAAAATAATCGAGTTGAGGTTGGTCCAACCTCATCTCCGTTCTCGTCGATTGGCCTATTCGAATAGTTGTATGGTGATTTAAAATTGCTTTATTTTGTATAGACTCAATATTTCCATATATTAATACCAAATGGCAATATGGAGTCAATAGCAAATCAAAACTTTTACCTTGATTGTTTGCCTTTTGAAAATATAAGCCCACTGTGACTTAGATATAAATACATAGAATAAAAACATAGTTACGGTTATAATTATATTTTAATGTCCCGGCTAGCTATCCATCCTACAGCTTCTGCTGACGCCCTGAGCAAAGTAGTCCACATGAACGGTGTATTTTCTTTTAGACTTTTTCTGACGATGTATGTGTTCAGAGAAGGTCCAATTCGTAGATAAGGTATTATTATAAGCTTACAGTGCCCGAAGACACCGGGCGACGTTTTGAGCATCGGTTCAGCTCAACTTTGTTTAACCAGTTCACGGTGCCTTCGGCACTGTAAGGCTTTTAATAACACAACACATATCTCCATATTTGTTGTTGAATAACATTTTTAGAAAACTCCTTAAACAAATTAGTTTGCCATAAATATTAAAAATAGATTTAAAAAAATATAAAGAATGTTGTCAACAATTCTGTACAAATCTAATAGTAATAGGATACAATAAATATTACAAATAAAATATATTATTAAAATAAAAAGGATTGAACTTGTTTAATCATGAAAGTTAACATTATTTTTTTTCAGTTCCTATAAACGACTGTTACATTCTATTTTAAAATTACGTTTTCTTATTATTACAATGTTGTCTGAACATTTTAAATTGTCTCAATCATGATTTTTGTCTTATTACAAAAAAAAGTTATATAATTAAACATTCTAACTGGAATATTACCTTAACAAAAAACAAATTACATACAACTATTAAAAATAATCGAGTTGAGGTTGGTCCAACCTCATCTCCGTTCTCGTCGATTGGCCTATTCGAATAGTTGTATGGTGATTTAAAATTGCTTTATTTTGTATAGACTCAATATTTCCATATATTAATACCAAATGGCAATATGGAGTCAATAGCAAATCAAAACTTTTACCTTGATTTTTTGCCTTTTGAAAATATAAGCCCACTGTGACTTAGATATAAATACATAGAATAAAAACATAGTTACAGTTATAATTATATTTTAATGTTCCGGCTAGCCATCCATCCTACAGCTTCTGCTGATGTCCTGGCCAAGTCTTCCACATCACCGGTGTACTTTCTCTTAGTTTTTCTCTGACGATGTAAGTGTTCAGAGAAGGCTCAATTCGATGATAAGGTATTATTGAAATGTATAATGTCCGCAACCGCCGGACGACGTTTCGAGCATCGGTTGAGCTCAACTATGTTTAACCAGTCCTCAGCGGATACACGACATTATAACTTTTAATAATACAGTACACGCATCTGCATACTTGTTGTTGATTAATATTTTTAGAAAACTCCTTAATCATATTAGTTTACCTACAATTTAGAACGGATGAAAACTCTAATACAATACTATAATATGTTTCTACTTCGGACAGAAAATTTTCCTAAAAATGCTCGAATTAATTTTTGTTTTTCTGAAATAGTTAATGAACAAAAAATAATATTATAGTTACGATAGTATCGATGCCGTGGAAATGTTATGAAAAATTCAAATATTTGTTCAAAACTTAAACTGATGTATTTTCTATGGAACAGTCCGTTCGAAGTAGAAGTCCTGACAATAAGATATAAATAAGAATACATAGAATAAAAACATAGTTACCGTTATAATTATACTTTAATGTCCAGGCTAACCATCCATCCTACTGCTGATGTCCTGGGCAAACTCTTCCACATCATTGGTGTACTTTCTTTTTAGACTTCCTTTGAGGTGTTCGGAGAAGGTCCCACTCGTAGATAAGATGTCCGCACCTGCCGGCGGCAGGTTCCAGTACCGGTTCAAAATCTCCCGTACTGAACCCGTCGACCGCAGTTGCGGACATGGCAACTTTCAATAATACATAGCTTCTGCTGATGTCCTGGGCAAGTCTTTCACATCACCGGTGTACTTTCTTTTAGACTTTTTCTGACGATGTATGTGTTCAGAGAAGGTCCAATTCGTAGATAAGGTATTATTATACCCTTACAGTGCCCGAAGGCACCGGGCGACGTTTTGAGCATCGGTTCAGCTCAACTTTGTTTAACCAGTTCACGGCGCTTTCGGGCACTGTAAAGCTTTTAATAACACATAACACACATCTCAATATTTGTTGCTGAAAAACATTTTTAGAAAACTCTTTAATCAAATTAGTTTGCCTTAAATTGAGAACAGATTTAAAAAAAATATAAAGAATATTGTCAACAATTCTATACAAATCTAATAGTTATAGAATAC